CCCGGGGAGCCCAGCCTGGCTTCTGGCCTCTGCATACCTCAGTTCTGAAAGAATACTTAAGGAGTTGATGGTGGCGGTGGCAACAATGATGATAACGACATGACTACCCTGTAGTAAGTATTTACTGTGTGCAAGACACTGTTCTGCCGTTCACAACAGTTCTAAGAGCTATTATTGTTATACAACAGAGAAAGGAACTGTAACTCAGAGAAGGTGACGAGGCCACGTGGGATTTGAACTCAGATCGTTGTTGATGTGCCCGGCACCTCACCCTGACTATATTCTTGCAGGCTGGTGGAAGCAACCAGGGTACCCCCACTCCCAGGACTGAGCCCAGTGGCTGCATTTCTCTTCCCAATACCGTGTGGGTCCTCTGCAGGGAGAGGGACAGTGGTTGGACTTGGGAAAATATCCCACACTTTTTTTCTTTAGTTGAAGTCTCACTCTGTTGCCCAGGCTAGAGTGCGGTGGTATGCTCACGGTCACTGCAGCCTCAACCTGCTGGGCTCAGGTGATCCTTTCTCCTTAGACTTCCAAGTAGCTGGAACTAAAGGCACACGTCACCACACCCAGCTAATTTTTTTTAAATGCATTGTAGAGACAAGGTCTCACCAAGTTGCTCCAGTTGGTCTCAAACTTGTGGGCTCAGGCAGTCCTCTCGCCTCCGTCTCACAAAGTGCTGGGATTACAGGCGTGAGCCACTGTGCCCGACCACACGCTTTTCTTGACACTCACTCCAAGGATGTTGTGATGCTGGACTAGGGCCAGAGAGGAGCCCAGGCTGCGAGGGACAGCTTCTCCCTTCTACCTGGGACTTTGTACCTGTCCTGGGAACAGCAGCTGATACTGCATGGAACATGCTCAAAGGCCAGTGCCCTAGGGAGATAAGGATTCCTCCTAGCCTGTGAACCTCAACAAGTCCTGAGGGTTTACCTCTTCCCCGCTTATGGCAGGAGGAAGAAGCATGAAAATTCCTCTGAGGCCAGGCATGGTGGCTCATATCTGTAATCCTACTTTGGGAAGCCAAGGCAGGAGGATCGTTTGAGGCCAGGATTTCAAGGTTATAGTGAGCTGTGATCATACCACTCTGCTCCAGTCGGGTGACACAGCAAGATCATGTGTGGTTTTTTGGTTTTTGTTTTTTTTTGAGACAGGGTCTGGCTCTGCTGCCCAGCCTGGAATACAGTGGCGTGATCATAGCTCACTGTAACCTCCAACTTCTGGACACAAGCAATCCTCCTGCTTCAGCCTCCCGAGGAGCTGGAACTACAAGTGTGCACCACCATTACTGGCTTTTATTTTTTGTATAGATAAGGGCTTGCTATGTTGTCCAGTCTGGTCTTGAACTTCTGGGCTCAAGCAATCCTCCAGCCTCAGCCTCCCCAAGAGTTGAGATTACAGGGGTGAGCCACAGTGTCTGACCCAACACCTTGTCTCTTAAAAAAAAAGGTCCAGGAGGAAATGCAGCCCTGGGGCAGAAGTGACTGAGAAAAGGCCTTGGGAAGAGGAGTGAGAAACTGGGGGGCAGAGAATTCAGAGGAAAGGACAGGGCACCCCTTGAGATCCTGGCTCCATTTGTAACCACTGCTGGATTGGCCCCTGCCTGGCCATGGCACAGGTCACCCCAGCCTGTAGAGCCCAGAGGTGCAAGCCCAGAGGAATAGCCAGGCATAGGCACAGAACATTTTGCTGTCGGATTTGCTGCTGCCTCCTGGGCGGATTTATCTGCTGGGGACAGTAAAAGACCAGCAGTGCCAGAGCCCCTCCCACCATCCAGGCAGAGGGCTGAACGGAGGACCCCATCGGGAGCTGCCGTCCAACTCCGCCCCGTCCCCTAGGGCCCTCCAGGAAGCAGAAGCCAGACACAGGGGAAACAGGAACTCGTTGCCCTTTATTTGTGTTTCTCAGAATACTGTACAAAGGGAGTAAAAATCCTATTCACACTTTGCTTAGAAAGATTTTTAGGTGAAAGTTCCCTATGATACATGGGATGGGGTGGAGGGCCAGGAGGCAGAAAACGGGGCGAGTGACCTCCCCTCCTCCCTCAGGCCCTGGGAGAGGACACACGTCTTTTCTAAAGCAATACCATCCCAGCCAGGTTGGGGGGGCTCCCCTCCAGCCGATGCTCAGGCTCCTGGCCACACCTTTCTTCTCCCCAGATTGAGGAGGCAACGCTGGCTCCTTCCACTGCTCTGCTCCAGCAAGATTCTCCAGCCACCAGCCACGTCAGATAGCCTCATGGCCACATGCACATGCCACACAAGAGGTCTTACGTGAGGTCAGGGGAGGGGCTGCAGAGGGCCACACTTCGTGGTTTCTGGTCGCTTCCCCACACCCCTCACACCAAGCAGGAGGCAGTACCAAACTGGACCTGTGCTTAGATGACTCGCGGGCCTCTTCCAGCTCTTCATGCCTCCAGCCATCACACGTTTCAAGCCCACAGCAGCCGCCCTCCCTACTGCCACCGTGTTCTGTGGGTAAATGAGCCCTCTGGCTTCCCTCCCTGCCCACATCCCAGCAGAGCCTCGGCCTAGCTTCTGTCCTCTCCCTCCCTCCCTCCCACCAGTCCTCTTCAGGTCCTAGGCCACATTCTTCTAAGCCTCAACCCGATGACCCCCAACTAACCTCCCCGAGGGCCAGGATGGCAGCTGCCCTGGCCCCCACCTCTGAGACCAGGCCACCCATACTCCACTCCACCCTCCCTCTCCTCACCCTCCCCACTCCCAACTAGGACCCAGGGTGGGTTGTGGAAAGCTGCCAAAAGCCTGAGACCGGATGAGCCAGCTCTACCCGGGGGGCGAGGCCCCAGAGAAGCACACACTGAGTGTCATCCTAAAGGCTTAAGAGTTAGAGGGAAACAACCCAGAAGTTGTACTGTCCCCTCCTGCAGGGGTTAAAGTGCTTTGGCTGCCTGAGGGTAAACAAGTGAGCAAGGGCATCCCCCCTGACCTCCTGTCCCAACATCCAGGAGCCCAGCCCATTCCATGGCCACCGCCATGGAGTCTCTATTCAAAGGCAAAAGGAAAAGATCAAAATACTCAGAAGGAGTCAGAGCCCGGGGGCCCACCCCAACCCCACTACAAACTATTCCAAGTTGACTACTGGGGGACGTGGGGGGAAGCTAGGCCCAGAGGCACAACCCCCTTCTCTGGCAGTGTCCAGAGGCTCCTTCTGTCTTCAGTGTCATAGCACAGGCCTTCCACCCCTCCCCACCTCCTGGGCAGGGAAGGGCTGCACCCTCAGTACTTATTGATGCCAAAAATCCGGACACCGTGGAGCTGGGGCAGCTTGGGGATGAGCACGCTCATCAAGGACACCGTGTTGAGGATGAAATGGATCTGGTCGTACTTGGTGTAGAAGCTGGTGAGGAAGTACCTGGGAGGGAAGATCAGGGAAGAGGTGAAGGGCCATCTGGAGGACCACTGCCTCCCTCGTCTCCTGGGTGGGGCGAGGCAGAATCCTGACACAGAGGATCCACTGGAGGGCTCCCCAGAGCCGAAGAAAGAAGCAAGAGCACTCAGGCTCGAGAGGTCCCTCCCACACCAGCCCCACTGCTTCACCCCAGGCCTGAGCCCAGAGAAAGACCCAGAGATACTCCAGCTTCCTCCGTTCTCCTCTATTCAGGGGCCAAAGCTGGGTCAAGCAGGACAAATAAGCCTGGCTGGGCCCCAGGGTCCCCCAGGCCTTTCCTGCCTGCTGGCTTCCCCTAACCCAGGCACTCACAGCACAATGGGTGTGATGGTCAAGAACTTCCGAGAGGCTGTAAACTGGACTCCATAGTCCATCTGCTCCCAGTGGGTTAGCAGCCTCGCCTTGCCCTGGTCCGGGGTCTCAAAGGGTGTCCCCTTCACCGTGTGCAAGAAGATGTACATGCCCTGGAGGAAGGGATCTTTGTTAGAGGATGCAAAAGGCCCGCCAGCTCAGCTCCTCCACCCAGCTACCCGTGGAGACAGAAGGAGCTGGGGGGACAGAAGGTCAGGATGGAGCAGCTGGGAGTCTGGCAGGAGTAGAACAGGGGGGTCCCCTGGGGGAGAGGGCGGGCCTGGCACAGGGGGAACAGTTAGCTGCAGGACAGACACAGGGCTGCTGTCCCTCCAGCCTAGTCATAGCCCCCTGTGCCAGCTGGGAGGGGGCAAGCTGATGCGGAGGGACGAGACCCCAGCTTGCCCACCACGAGAGCACAAGGTAGCAGGTGGTGAGGGAGCAGAGAAGGGCAAGAGTGGAAGGCGGTTTGAGACCCTAACTTGGGAAAGGGGAATTTCTGTGCCAGGCGAGTCACCAGGACTCCTGGGTCCTGAGGACACTCTGGAGCCCTTCGTTGAGCTCTTCCAAAACCCTCAGCCATCCCATCCTGGAGATGTGGGCAAATCTGCAGACTGGATTATCAGTCTCCCCAGGGCTGGAACCCAGAATGGGGGGTCAGGCGGAGAGGCAAGAGCTGGGATGAAGCTCTGTGACAGATGTTGTCAATATGTCATCCTGACATCTGGCCCACGTCTGGCCAGCTCCTCCTCTCCCTTGGCCCCACCAAAGAGCAGTCCACACGCAGGGGTAGGCTCTCACCATGTTGTGGATGAGGTTGGTGAGGGTCCAGACGACAGGGACACTCACGAAGGGGATGCTGAGCAGCACGACATGGAGGAGCCCGATGGCCAGCACATAGGACAGCCAGATGCCACGGCTGTTCATCACCCGCGTGTTGGGGTTCACCTCGCTGTGTGCTGTGCCCACATTCATCCTGCTGCCCCTCTCCGTGGTTCTGCAAATGAGCAGCATAGGTGAGACAGGTCACACCACTTTCCCTGTGTCCCCCCACACACCCTCCGATTCCATAGGGAGGATGACTCTTCTCTCCCCAGGACTCCAGGCAGTTTCACTGTTTTGAGTCTCAAGCATGGAAGCTAGAGAAAGTCCATGTGGACTTAGCTCTATTCACTTCCAGCTGCTGGGCTGCAAGAAACACCAGGAGGCCCACTTATCACCCCAGGGGCAGGGCCTAGGAGGCCAGATCATCAAGAAGCCCCAGAGCAAAGAAGTCCCTCCCCATCCCCCAGCATTCCCATGGTGGCCCTCTTCCTTTAAAGCCCTAGAGAGGGCAGAAGAGACCGTAAGAATTTTCAATCAGCACAGCCCCTGTTGGACTGTCTCCCTGAGGGCTTGACGTGGGAACCTCCTTCCATAGGGAGGACAGGAAGCGAGGCCTGGGGGCACAGGCAGCAGAGGATGAAATGTTCAGGGATCCTTGCTTCCACTCATTGCCCCTATTTTTTCCAATCCTGGATCTCCCCCAACCCCAGCTCAGCCAACAGGTAGAAAGACGGAGGAGGAGGAAAGGAGAAAATAACAGACTAGGGACAACCTCTGCCCAGACCTGGAAGGCTCCCCTGTTGGTGACACAAAGCAACCCAGCCAGATGTTTTAGCCATTTGGCAGCTACTCAAGCCAACCCTTGTGATGCCGCCCACTCTGCTGCCAAACCACCAGGGCCCTTTTCCTCACCAAAGGAGAAGCCAAGACAGAGAATGTGGCCAACATCTACGGCTCCCAGAGAGCTGGAACCCACATCAACATGCCTCTCCCAAGGACACAGAACCATACCGGTGTCCTCCCTTCTGCCCCTTCTCTGCCCTGCCCATCCTCACCTCAGCCTCCCTTCTCAGCACCTGTTTCCAGCATAAGTAGCACCATGCCTTCCCCCGCCTAACTCCTATGGTAGAAGCCCTGCAGCAAGAGGAACGAGCAGGGCTGCCCTGGGTGCCCAGGAAACACTGGGGGCAGAATCCAGAATGTGCAGAGGGAAGAAGAGAAGATAGGGAGGGGAATGATCTGCCCCTTGTCTAGAGTTTGGCTGTCCCCAGATCCCTAAGGACCCTTGACCAGAACAAAGTGGGAACAGATGGCACCTGTGTACTGGCTCACCTCCCTATCTGAGCAGGGTCTGGCCTGCTAAAGACCATGGTAGTTGCCCATCACCATGGTAACTGCCCCATCTCTCATGGGACTGCAAAGATGGAGATATTTTAGAAGTGCCTAGAAGGCCACCTCTCCTTCATCCTGCTGTGGTCAACCCCCTCAAACTTGGATGCTATCTGTCTCTGACTAGGATCCTAGTCAAGCCTGCATAGAAGCCAGAATTCTCAGGGGTCAGTTCTATACTTCCAGGATAACAGAAGCAAGTTTCTTCTCAAGACAGTGGCAAGTTTAGAGCTCAAGGGAAATATGACCCAAAACACATTGTCCCAATAAGCAAACATCCATGAGTTGGCCTGGGATGCATCCTGATTGAAATGAATCCATTAGGCTGGATAATCAGGCCTAACAGAAATCCAAGGAACTAGAAAACCAGAGCTGGCCCAGTTGTTTACTTTCCCAGTTACCTACCCTAACTCAGCCCCTGGGACACTTACTACACAAAAGCCTCCACCTGGGGGGAGGGAGGGCAATGTCTGGCTGAGAGCTCTGAAGGACTTATGATTGACTAAGGAGCAGGAAACAACTCCCCAAGTCCCGCCAGAAGCTGCTGCCCCACCCCCTCTCCATAACCCAGACCTACAGCACTAAAGGTATAAAAAGATCGGTGGGGCTGGGTGGCTCAGCCTGTAATTCCGCGCCTTTGGGAGGCTGAGGTGAGTGGATTGCCTGAGCCCGTGGATTCAAGACCCGCCTGGGCAGCAAGACCTCATCTCTACAATAAATCAAAAAATCAGCCGGGCGTACTAGCACATGCCTGTAATTCCGGCTACTTGGACGGCTGAGGTGGAAGAATCGCCAGAGCCCAGCAGGCGAGGCTGCGGTGGCCGGGAGCGGCCACTGCACTCCAGTCTGGGCGACCGAGTGAGACTCCAACTCAAAAAAACCCAAAAAACAAAAAACAAAACGATCTCTAGCCCTTCCTAGTATTATGTTCAGGAGTGTCAAGAGTCATGTCAAATCCCAGATCACGAGATCCTACACCCCCTTCTGGCTTTAACAGGGTATGCAGCAAAGCTTGATGAGCCTAAGAGACTTAGGTCCTAGATGACACCCTGGGAAGCTTTTTCCTGAAGCCTGAACACGAGATGCTCTGAGAACAGAAAACCACAGGAGACCCTTCAAAAAAACAAGAGACGCATAAAAGAAAAGACCAGCAGCCAGGAAACACTCCTGAGTGACTATGGGCATATCACTTGCATTAATAAAACAACCAACTGACCCATCTCTTAAGTGGGGGAAAATGGGGAAAAGCACCTGGCAGGGGTACACAGGTCTACAGCAGCTGAGGCTGTGAAGTTCTGCTACCATGGCTGGCAGGTGGCTGCCACTGCCAGCCCCTGAAGTGGTTTCATAACCTGCCTCAAACCAGAGCCTGCAACAACCATGTTCTGTTAACCTTTTTTTTTGCTGGTAGCTCTGCCCCCCGCCTTCCCTCCCCACCCCTTGGCTCCACACACAAAAATCCTGGCCCAGCCAGTATGTCAGACACTCAAGCCAAGGCCAGAGCGTGCCCCAGGGCAGCCAACCAGGTGAGTCCTTCCCATTCCCTCCCCCAGGTAAGAGCACCTCTTTAAACAGCAAACTTCCTGCCTACTGGGTGAGAAGCACAAAACATCCAGACTTGGTCGGGGGCCCCAAGGGCTGTCCGTGGCAGCACTTCACAATGCCACTTCCGCTCCGCCCCCGCCCCCCACAACCTGCAGGACCTATCCAATTTGCGTTGAGCCCCTATCAACTCGGGCCCGGCTTCCCAGACTCGGGAGACGGTGGGGGCCGGAAAGCGAGTACCGAGACGAACCCTCACTAAGCCGAGAAGAGGGAGGGGCGAGGAGGCTGTTGGGGTTTTCGGAATGAGACCTCCGGCGGGAGAGGGGGGCAGCCTCCCGCTCCGCTTCCCAGCTTGGAACCTAGCACTGGGAGCTTGGCGCGGTCCGGGACCCCACCCCCATCTCCACGCGTTCACCCAGCCCTGGAGGCACCAAACCTTTATCCCCGAAGCCCAGCTGCTCCCCGACGTCCCAGCCCCGACCTCCCGCTCCCACTTTCTCACCTCCTCGGCCGATGGAGCGGCTCCACCCCCAGCCACTGTTCCCTGGTCTCCTCCAGCCCGGGGGCCTCCCCAGCAGCCCCCACCTCCTCTCCTGCCTCTCCTCTAGCCCCAGGGGCCTCCCGGTTACGCCACCCCGCGGCCGTCCGTCCAGACTCACCGTTCGGGGCCGGAGGTCGAGGGCCCGGGAGAGGTGCCCGGGAGCGGGGGCCGCTGCTGCTCCAGCAGCTGTAACAACCCGCGGCTGCAGCCACCCCGCTGGCAGCTCCGGCCAAATC